TTAGGGCAACACAGGCTGACTAAGTCTGCTCACCTAAGAGTGCCAAGAGTCTAAGCAGGCAACAAGGAAGTGGAGTAGACCTGATGACTAAGACCTATCTACAGTATAGGTACCTGTGGATGATCCTAAGAGACCAAGTCTGAAGAGACAGTCCCCAGGCAGAGTAGGCCTTATATTTATACCTCTGTGGTGGAACCTGCTAGAACATCTTGCTTACTCAGTCTAGTCAGGTGATCAGGTCATATGACCAAGGATGAGGTCATATGAGGTCATGCACAGCCATACACAGCAGGTCACCTGACCATCCAATCCTTCCAGCAGGTTCCAGCACATGCCAAGGTATACCAGCTACTTCCATGTCATAAAGGCTTAGTCATGTCTCTTGACCAAGCAATGAGCTGGTGCCCTGACTGTCCCCAGCTTCCCTACACCATGGGATGTTGAAAGCCATTGCCCAACAGCAAGATCTGGATCACAAAAGTGTTCCAGATTGAGATTGAGAAGTCAGGCATCACTGTTCTGGCCAAACACTACCAGTGGCTGAATGGATTCCTGTTGTCCCAGCTATGTTGACTGTTTGCCACCCAGTGGCCAAATGCAAAGTGCTATAATGACTTGTGTTCCAAGCCAGATGAAGAGGTGTACACATTCAGTTCACAACTGGGACCTCAGCTTGAGCAGGCGGAGAAGGCTTATGCAAAAGGGGAAGCATATGCCATCAATAACTGGGGCATGAAGTGGGTGGCAAACTGGGTCAGTAGTGCAGTGTCCAAGTACATGACAGCTTGAGCAAGGATGCAATGGTTGTTCCCAACACATATCAATGACAACCACTGGATCCTCATTCATGTTGACTGGCTTTGCAAGTACATCACCATGTACCATTTGTTGAGGATGGGCAGCTGGCATGATCATATTGTGGTATGTTTTTGTCATTGATAGTCTGTATTGCATTCAGCTCACTGGATACATAGAGCATGCAACATGTGGTGGAGTGGATCTAGGAGGTTGCTGCAGAGAAAAGCAAGCCATTCCCTGGTTGGGAAGGATGGAAAGGGTGTAATGCCGAGGTGAGCTTGATGGGATGGTCATTGGAGACCTGGAGTCTAACAGCAGGTCAGGTTCCATTGCAGACAAATGGAAGTGATTGTGGTCTGTCCGTCACCACACATGCATGTGCGATTGCCTGAGGCTACACCCATTCAACCATGATAACAGCTGACATGGCAAAATGGTGCAAATGGCTGCTGCAGCATTTGGAGTCTTTGCTGGATGCCCTGGCACTTAAAAAGCTGAGGGGAAGGTTGCTGCTCCTCTCTTAATGGTCCTTGTTTCATTTGCTGCTTTCTCTCCTCATGTTTAGTAGTTGCTTTATGTGTCTGTTGTATGACTGTGATCTTTCCTCTTCCCATCTTGGTATGTTGATTATGTAGGTGTGTACTGATTGGGTTGGATGGATTTAATGGGTGAGCAATGTCGCACAACCATTTGGTGTCTCATAGGCTGATTTCTGACAGTAGCCTAATATCCACCATGCATAACTTGTAATTCTGTAGATAGTTCTGTGCAATACAAGGGATGGCACACCTTACAATGCAGAGTGCAGACAACTTGCCCATCAACATTGATGGTCAACTGGACTTGCATGAATAGGTGAATGATGTTTCCCAATTTGGGAACCATTAGGCTGATCATGATTGGCCTAGCAGTTTGCTGGGATTGCCAGGAGATCTGCATTCCTGTGTGTCAGTATGTGCAAAATTTTCTGTGCTGTTAAATAAAGACTGGCATCATGTAGTTTCGCACCTTTCCCCCCATCACCTGAGAAATGATCCATGACCATGTGTCCCTTTACCCCCACCCCCTGCCCCAGTTTTCCACTTTGTCAAGATGCCTACATCTCTCATCGCCCAATCACTCATGCAGGATGTCATCAAGCTTAGGAATTCCTGACTGCCAGAAGGGAAGAAGGTGAAGCACATTGGGGCCACAATCTGGTGTTTGGAACCCAGATGTTATGAAGCACTGGTGCCTCTAGTGCATTTGGACAGAAAGGGGGGGAAGCCAGAGAAGTATGGGGTTGTATACACCCTCATAAGTTCTGCACCCTGTAGTTCAAACTACACTGACATTGTTCATGCAGTGTCATAACCCAAAGAGCTTCTGATTTCATACCCAGAGGCTGCACCCAGATGACAACATCAAACTCTAGCACATGGTTGACAAAGCCCAGGCACAATGGAGTTCAAGCCCAGTAGGCTCAAGTCAACCAGCAAATGGTCCCCAAAAGGGAGGACCCAAGTGTCCCCTCTGCAAGGGACTGGGTTGCCAAGCTTGCCACAAGAAATGGTGTGCCCAGTGCTGCAGGGATGAGAAAAAGTCCAAAGAGTTTGGTCACAGCGCAGCGGGCTGCCCTGTCCACAAGCCTAAGGCAGAAAAGACCAAAGGAGGCAGGGAAGCAAGAGAAGTCAATGGGTTGGATGAATGGGAGGATGGGGAGAACAGAGGAGATAGGGAAGGGATGGAAGATGAAGTGTTGGAGGTTGGGCAGAGGGATGGGATGGCAGATCAATCAGCCTGGGGGCAGGCAGGGCAGGTCACAGCTCCAGGTGAGACAGCAGGAGGAAAAGGGAAGGGCAAGCAGATTGAAAGGGGGGGCACACCAAGGCATTCGAGCAGAATGTCAAAGTCAGCACGACAGCTGGACTATCAACGCAAGCCTTCCATGGTCCATCCCCACATGGGCTGTACCATGAAATGGATGGCAGATGGGCAGCTACTCTGGAATGCTGATGGCATGCAATGGAGATGGAGAAGATGCTAGAGATGGCATTTGGACTGATTGTGCTCACCTCAGTAAGCAGCTAACTACTAACACAATGACTTTTCTCTAACTCCCACTTAAGACGCAGGTCCACCAGTTCTCCCTGCAAGTGTCTCCTGCTGCAGGGAAGCTGTGGACAAGGATGAGCCAATGGCCCAGTCATGTGGGCTTGGAGCTGAGCTCTGACCTCAGGATGAAGTTTGAGAATGTCACCTACACAAAGTTCTTTGAATTGCAGCAGGGGATGTGGATCTGTCAGGGAAGGGAGGGTCTGGTGCAGGTCAGAAAGGATGAGTCATTGATCTGCCTGCTGGGTGGAGTGAATGAGGATGGGCCCCAGGTAGTCAAAGAACTGGGCAGGGCACTGCCTGTTGTGGTTCGAGACCATAAGCAAGGATCAAAGCATCCCCTGGTGTAGACTCTGTCCCCACTCCTCCCACTGTTGTCGCCTCCAACTGGTAACTTTGTGATGCCTACTCCCCAAAGGTCATCCCAGAGGAGACAACCGGCCATAAACAATGCATCCCCAGCTCCTGTACACCTGCAGAATGCCAAACCTGGGCCCAGGATGGTGGAGGATGTGAAGACAGTGGAGGATGTGAAGCTGAGCAACCCTAAGCATCCATGCTGGGGTAGCAGAGTGGTTACACTTGATGCCAATGATTTGCCAGATGTGGAGGACATGATCAATGGCATTGAAGCAGCCATGCTGACAGCAATGGACTGGGAAGGCACCATCAACCTGACTTTGCCACTGCCAGAGCCTGTGCCCATCATTGTCAAGCTGCCATCCTCCCCTGCCTGACTTCTGCTCCTGGAGGTGCTGGACAAGACGTGGCCTGGGTTGTGGACTTTTAATGAAGTCATGCATGACATCACCCACATCCATAGCTATATGGACAAGGCTACACCAGGCCATGTTCTTTGGGGGCAAGCCTTCAAGGAGGTGTATGGAATCAAGGGAAAGTACAAAACTTGGTATGAACATGCCAAGTTGTTGGAGTCCACCAGCCTGAAGAAGCTCATCAAAAGGTTCAGTGAATGGCCAGGGAGTACATGGGTGAGGTTCCAGCTGCATGCCTGGAGGAAGAATGACAGATGTCTGAAGGATGGCAAGGTGGAGATGGATGAGCGGGCTTGGTGGGTGGAGTTGGATGAAGAGGGAGAGTAAGAGAAGGGCCATGAACTGTAGTCATTGGTGAATTGACTGTGTAGAAATACAATAGATGAGCTTGGAGGTGATGTCCTCCAAGTCCTTTGTTTTTCTTGTTTTTGTGTAGTAGTATCAATTAATAATTATACAACATCTAGATAGAGCACTAACTAATTGTATCTATCAGACTTATGTGTTTGGTGTTAGGCAGCACTGGCTATTGAATTGCTGAGCAATGTACCCTGCCCTGCCTGCTTGACATGGAGCAGGATTAAATTACTAAGCTTAGGACCCTGACATCTGTATCCAGAGTCCAGAGTCCAGACATGCCCCAAAACCTGGATGCCCTCCTATGAGTTTCCTATCACTGCCACAGAGAGCACAAACCAATCTGCAGCACATGTGAAGAAGAGGGGCATTTAGGGCAATTGCCCCCACAGGGGCATTGTAGAAAGGGTGTCTCCACAGAGGGGGCACTGGAGGAAATTGCTCCAAATCAATTGGAAATTGGGCAAGGCTGAAATGAATCAATGCCCAAAGACCTGTGTGAATGATGTGTACTCTACACCTCCTGTCAGGGCACACCATTGAGCAGAGGCCAAACACAAAGGTTTTGGGCAAAGCTGCAACCTATTGGGGTGACCTGACTGCCAAACAACCACTAATCATCTGAAAGCCCAACATCAGACCTCTTGGTGGTCCTTGCATGCCTGCTTTGGGATCTCTCATGGTATTGGCCATGTCAGCCACATGGAGTAGTGAGGGTGGTATGGGAAGAGGGTTGATAATCCCAATACATCCACAATCGACCCTGCTCAGCTTGTTGCACAAGTCAGTATGGGAGAATCAGAAATGGTAGTAGGGGGGGGGTGCTGTAGTCAACCAGTATCAAGGTTGAATCACAAGGTATGGGAAGTCATAGATGACCAATTGTGTTGACATTAGACTCAACCAGGACAAAGCCATGCCTTCAGAAGTCAGTGGAGGTATTGCACATGTATTGGTGGGAGGGGATGGGATCTCAATGGTAACCCTTCATTGATCAGGCAGAATCAAGGGGATGTCAGATGGGGAGGAGTCCAGAGTTGCCTGTCACTCAGACTTGGGCAGCATAGTGCAATGCCAGCAGAATTGGTATGGACATTGGGCAATTGAGGTGAGCCATCAGGGGTGTAGTCAGGGTTTTGGTTTCTTGTAGATGGGAACCTTGCCAAAAGAAGGGGTGTTGGGCTCACCTCATGAGCTTTCATAGAGATCGAGCACAGGTCAGACCTCTCAGCTCTAGGAGAGTGGCCTATCAGCAGAGACTTTGGATACATTGGCACCAGTCATCTGGAAGTCAACAGTCTCAGCTGGAGCACCAGCCTTTGGAGGGTACAATGAAGAGTCGGGGTGTGTTGCCAGATTATTGAGTACCTTGATCTTACTACCTGAGGTCAATCAACATGATCATGAACAGTTCACCTCCTTTGAGGGAAATCAGTGTTTTGGGTTGTACTAGGCAGTGGGATTCCTGAGAGACCAAATCTGAGGCCTCTGTGCCCTCAGACTGGGGCCTACATATACATGCCAGAGGAAACAAAAGGAAGCAATAGACTGTGGCTGAGAAACTGTACTTGTCCATTTTACCTCAGGGCAGACCTTGTGACCGAAGGTCTCCTGATCATGGACAAAGTCTCCTGATCTCCACACTAGGGTTCACCACTTCTTGATTGTCAGCCAAAGCCTGGCCAAAACATGCTTTGAGATCCAATCTGATCCCAATCACCTGTTCTTGAGTTATAGGCACTTTGAGTAGGTAGCCAAAATTGCTGAAGGGTGGCTACTTGTCTCCAATCTGTCGAAAGCCTTGCTGGGGCCCATGACCAAGGCCTACAAATAGTCAAACATAATTGATAGGCTGGCCCAAAAAGTGTCCGAACTCCAACCCCCTATGCCTTAGGCCCCAAAGTCCTTTGGGTGTCCTAGCAACTTGATGAAAGGGGTCAAAACTCTAGTCAACATGACTGACAGTCTTGAGCAAATGTGCGACTTGAGTGTTCAGTCCTTGTGAAAGGTGAATGATCACCAATAGCCTTGCCATCTATCCCAGATGGGGAGAGAGGCCTGTCAGAAGGGGCTTCTCACATCTGACAGCCTTGAATGAGGGGTTGAAAGTGTCAAAACAGTGGCATTCGGGCCAAATCAAGGTTTGCATAGGAGTTCACAGAGGTTGGACCCTGACACCTTCCAATGAGGCATCAGGAGAAGGTCTGCTGGAGGGGGAGTTGACTGTAGTGGCTAGTACTTTGCAGTAGTAGACTCAAAGTATGACTGAGGCCAAATCAAAGGTAGACTCTAAGGGTATAGCAACACTGAGGTCAATTCAAGAATCCAATATGTGTTCTGAGTTAAGATGCAGCAATCCAAAGAGAGTCAGGATGAGCAGAGTCAGTGCAAGAACTCCAAGGGCTAAGAAGGAGTGTGTTGTTCTAAGGTTGAGTCTTCAAATTGAGAATCAGAACAAGTTAGATAGGGGATAGAGTAGGGAGTGACTGTAGAGTAAAGCAGTAGCTATTAGGTGTAAGTTAAACATCACCCAACTTGAATGAGTGAGAGTAGAGAGTAAGAGAGAGAGGAGTCTGAGCATCCCTATCTGAAGTACCCAAATCCTCCTATATATGTTCAGAGAGGTTCAGACCTTTGGACTACTACTAATCTATACCTACTCTATATTACCTAATGCTATGTCTAGGGTCCACTTCCTGCCTCCAATAGTCCAGTCTGGCCAAGTTTGACATGTCATTCAAAGGGGTGTTCAAAGGTCGGATCTGAGCTCAAAATTTGGATGTGCAGCACAGATGTCCAAAGGCCCCAATCTCAGCAAGAGGCTGGAGAGAGAGAGGCAAATTGAAAATTGCAAAATTATCAAATCCTGATGCAGGTTTTGACATTGGTGATCAGCTATTCATGTATCTTATTGAAGACACAAGGGAAGAGATTTGGGCAACTAAAAGTGTGTCAGCCTGATTGGCATCTGAATAGGCCCAAGATCAAAAGACTGAGAAGACATTTGAGTAACTGGTGCCCAAAGAATACCAAAGCTATCAAGATGTGTTCTTGAAGACTTCATTGGACTGATTACCTGATGTTCAGCCATGGGATCATGCAATCAAGCTGAAACCAGGATCTGAACCCTGAAGCTCAAAGGTGTACCCACTTTTGCTAGTCAAACAGAAGCAACTTGATGACTTCCTACATGAAAACCTCAACTCTGGCCAAATCTGCTCTTCAAAATGGCTGATGGGGTCTCCAGTGTTTTTTGTGAAGAAGAAGGATGGTTCACTTCAACTGGTACAAGACCATTGATGGCTCAATGAAATGATGATTAAGAATTGATACCCCATTCCCCTTGTTTCAGACCTGGTGAACAAACTCCAAAATGCCCAATTCTTCATGAAATTGGATATTTGGTGGGGCTACAACAAATTCATATTAAAGAAGGTGATGCTGCCTTTTGGACAAATCAGGGCCTATTTGAACCTCTTGTGATGTTCTTCAGATTGGTGAACAGCCTAAGCATTTTTCAGACAATGATGAATGATGTGTTTTGAGAACTAATCAATTGAGGAGTTGTGGTTGTCTACATGGATAACATCCTGATATTCACAAAGGATCTTGCCAAACACCATGAAGTCATCTGACAAGTCCTGGAAATTCTCCAAACTCACCAACTGTACCTCAAACCAGAGAAATGTGACTTTGTTCATAACCAAATTGAATATCTCAGCTTGATCATTCAGGAAGGATTTGTTGAAATGGATCCAGTCAAGATTGAAGGTGTTTTGAAATGGCTGAACCCAATGAATGTGACTGAAATCCAGAGTTTCATTGGTTTCTGCAATTTCTATTGTTGATTCATCCATGAGTTTTCAAAATCAGCCTGACCACTCCACAAACTCACTAAGAAGAATGTGAAATGGTATTAGGGCCCAATCAAACAGGCAGCTTTTGATGAATTGAAGTCAAAAATCATGAAGGCTCCAATCTTGATGCTGGCCAAGGACAACTGACCATTTCAAATTGATGCTGATGCATCTGACTATGCAATTGGTGCTGTACCATCTCAAATTGGTGATGATGAAAAGTGGCATCCTATTGCATTCCTTTCAAGAAGTCTGACACCTACCAAACAGAACTGCAAAATCCATGATAAGGAACTTCTGGCAGTCATTTGATCACTTGAAGAATGGCAACACTTCCTTGGAGGGGCTGAACACCCAGTT